TTTTGCAGAATCTATGCCTCTTGGAGGACAGCAGGGGCTGCCTAGGCATAGGGTCTTGTGGAAGGGATAACACTGATAGGTAATGAGGGGCCAGTCATGGAAGAGCTGTGAATGAAACAGTGAAAATGGAGGACTGGAATAGAGTGCTATTATAGGATTTTAGTGTGGGAGTCACACAATAAAACTGAACGCTTTCAAATGATTACCATGACAGCAGTTTGCAGGATCAGCTTGGGGGACAGACTCAATGTGGGAGAAACAGGATGCAGTCAAAGAGTAAGGCTCTCGAAAGTGGTGTGTAATATATTTATCATGTCATTTTTCAGGTAGAATATGGTTGCCTATAGCAGATAGGTTGTCAACAGTCAGAAAGGTCTCCAAATCAGTGTAAAGAAGGATAAAGTAGCATTGGGTATTAGAAAGCTCTGTGAAGTTTTAATTAAGTGCTTTGTCTGGATCCATCAGAGACCACCCCTCACTCTCCAGTGAAGTTGCTTATGATATCCTTGGATGATAAAGGATGTAGAGGAAGAGAAGCAATGATGATTGTACTAGTAAAGACCATTTGACTTGTTGAATGGAATAGGTAGATAATTAGGTATGCTGAGGGTGTGTAGGATGATAAATACTGAGGAAATTATTCAGCTAATAAGTTAGGTAAAAAGCAAATTAGGCATTTCATAGCTGTTGCTGCTTTTCCTTTCGTCTCCTTCCTCTTGACAGGTGGCTTAGAACTTTGAGGAGGGAAAGTTGCAGGGGATACATTATTCTGGCAATACCTCTAAGCCACATAAAGCCCTGTTCAAAGAGAATTACTTCTTGTATTAAAGACAAAAGTACAGTTTTGTTTTTTCTCTTTAGCCCAAGGTAAGGAGTTACTGTTTCTGTTTCCTTATCTCTTCCCCTACTTCCCCTCCAATACTGGAGTCTGGCTCATGGCTTTCTTTCTACATACACAGCCACCTAATAAAAGCATTCAGCTTTAGAAGTTTAAGGGTGTTTAGAGTAAGCAGAAGAGATAAAGGGACCTTCCTCCACTCCATTTCACCCACCTAAGTTTACAGAGCCTTTTTATAACTTTTTTTTTTTTTTTTTTTTTTTTGCGGTACACGGGCCTCTCACTGTTGTGGCCTCTCCTGTTGCGGAGCACAGGCTCCAGACGCTCAGGCTCAGCAGCCATGGCTTATGGGCCCAGTCGCTCCGCGGCATGTGGGATCTTCCCGGACCGGGGCACGAACCCGCGTCCCCTGCATCGGCAGGCGGACTCGCAACCACTGCGCCACCAGGGAAGCCCCCTTTCATTCTTAATGATGATTCTTTCATAGTATTAAATAGTATTAAATGAGTTAACACATATAAAGCACGTATAACATGCCTGCCTACAGTAAATGATCAATATGATTTTTGGTAAATAAAAACCCCTTCCCTTACTTGCCCCTGCAGCCTTTGGTCCCCTGAGATTTTGGCCATTCCCCGTCCCCGTTCTCTCTTTTGTGACCAGAGCAGAAGCCTGCCCAGTCTCTTGCTCTTTAGGTTGGAATAACTCTGATGATGCTTTATGAACTATGACCACAGTCTATTGATGTGTTTGGCAAGAAAATAGAATAAAGCAATATTGCTTCAAAAATTATTTTTGGAGTTAACCATCCTTGACATTTGAATTGTTTTCTCGTGTAGACATCTCAAGAAAACGTATTCTTTTTGGTTTATTGTGGTGTAGGCCTGGTGTAGATACAGCTTCTAAAGACTTAAGGAGAACTCTGGGTACCTTTTGATCTCATCCTGTTGCTTCCAAAAAAGTTCCTTCACCAACATGTGCTCTTCACGAAGACAAAACAAACTGTCCTCCAATTCTCCCCGGGTCATCCTGCTCAAGGGTAGTTGAGTCTTTACATTCTTACCTAAAGTCCCAGGAGAGGGTAAATGGAGATTATTTTTACATGTAATTTTTTAACCCATCATATCTCTCAGCACATCTTGCCCAGAGGGCTTGAATCTCTTTTTTTTTTTGCAGTACGCGGGCCTCTCACTGTTGTGGCCTCTCCCGTTGCGGAGCACAGGCTCCGGAAGCACAGGTTCAGTGGCCATGGCTCACGGGCCCAGCCGCTCCGCGGCATGTGGGATCCTCCCGGACCGGGGCACGAACCCGTGTCCCCTGCATCGGCAGGCGGACTCTCAACCACTGTGCCACCAGGGAAGCCCCTACAGAGCCTTTTAAAACCAGAAAGTCCTGAATGTTTATCATCAACATGGTGCTTTGCATTCTGCCTTGTATTATGCTATTTTTGCACCTGTTTTGTCATCCTTAGTAAATTCAAGCTATCTGATGGAGGGACTGGATGTTAATTCTTCTTGTATCCTCCACTTCCACCCCATCTAGCATAGGGGTGAACTCCCTGAAAACATAAATGCTGTCTCTGAAGTACTTCCCTTGCACCAAATACAGTGCTGGTTAGTAAGTAGGTCATGATAAAGATCATGCAGTAAAACTGATTTCTGGTAAAATGAATTTAAGTACTTTTCATTAACATTTTATAGACATTTTTACTCTATGAGAACAGTGAGTAATAAAACATGCTAGTGTTTATTTTTGTTTACTTAAGTCAGGAATTACATGAATTACATGGCAATCAAGCCCCACAGCATCTGGGTCCCTCTGAATAAGTGCTATATAAATTATTTAATAAAGAAAGGATAGTCTAACTGTCCTGGGAAAAGAACAATTTCTCCTGATAAATAAAAGCTAATGATTAATTACTTTAACATGAATTTCAGACACTCTGTTTAAGGTCCTAGGACATGTAACAGGAGAGAAAATAAGAATGTACACGTACAGAGAGAAATAAGAATTAAACTCTGCAATCGAAAGACATACTGAGACTTCCCTGTTGGTCCAGCGGTTAAGAATCCGCCTTTCAATGCAGGGGACGTGGGTTCGATCCCTGGTCAGGGAACTAAGGTCCCACATGTCGTGGGGCAACTAAGCCCATGTGCCACAGCTACTGAGCCCGCATGCCATAACTAGAGAGCTCGCACGGCACAATGAAGAGCCCTCATGCCACAAGGAAGGCCTGATGAAGCCAAATAAATAAATAAATATTAAAAAAAAAAAAAAGACGTACTATCCAGAAGGGGAGAAGAGACGAGTGTAAAATTAACCACAGTGCTATGAGGTCGTTTTAAATAAATTGCAATGTGGCAATTGAGCTGAGGCTTTGAGTACTTGGAGATGTTTTCCCTCTGATTACTTGTTCTAAGTCGACAATTTGGAAAATATAGAAAAGCACAAGGAAGTGAAAAAAAAAAAAGCACACGTAGTTCTCCCACCAAGAGAGAACCCTATTAACATTTTAGTATATTTTTTCTTACATGCTTTTTGGTTTTGCTTTTTAAATCTGCTTAAAGCAATATATGCATATGACAAATAAAACAGTACAGAAAGGCATACCAACGAAAAAGGCAAAAGTTTCACTCTCCAGATGTATGTCAAAATAAATTTCTAGGCCCAAGATGGAGTCGATCCTGCTGGGGGTGTCACATCAGCAAACCGAAACTTCATGTTCCTGTAAAGGCTCAGCCTGACCAGAAACGCAGTACATCCAGTCAGCCAATCCTCAAACGCCATATTTCTAGGCTCTATACTTATTTCCTTGTTCCTTAATCTTTCTAAATAAGGTCATATTCACAACCCCAGCCAATCATGCCCTGATTGCCTTGCAGCTTCTAATGCTGCATAAAACTCATTCTTGCTCAAACTCCCTGGGGGAGTGCTCCATGGCTTGTGAGTCACTGTACTCTTCCAACCATGGATTGTTTTCCTTTGAGTAAAGGACATTAAACTCGTTACTAAATTGTCTTAATTTTCTCCTTTGACAGGTAAGTTTCCTTGTGAACCCCTCTGAAATTCAGAATTAATTCAAAACTAATGCATACAACTGTATTCGCACATGCATATATTCCTTAAAATGTATACAGATGGTATCACATTCTCTAGTGTTCTGCATCTAACTACACAAAGAAATATCTTTCATTCCTAGCACAGCTGGTCCTATTCCATTGCGTGCATGGCTGCTATAATACAACCAGAGGGACTGCAGTGCAGACGATGCCAGTAGGTGGGGGACGGGCCATTTCAGGGTGAGGGGAATTAAGGGACCAGATTCCGGGGACGGGCAGGAGAGCTAGCCGGATAAGCCAATTTGGTTGACACGTAGGGTATTAGTGAGATGATTTGGGGCCAGAGGATGGGTGCTGTAGTATATTCCATGCCAGCATTTTGGACTTTCTTTACCTTTTATGGTGGAGAGGTAAGGAAGTCAGTTGTTTTGACCGAGATATGGGTTGTCTGAAGAAGGGCTTGACAGGCTGAGAAGTGTCCAGGAAGGAGCTCTAGGATTGGAAAAACTGCAGGGCTGGTTAGTTTTCTGGTCTTTAGTGCTCCCTCCCCACTCTAAGAAAAGTGTTTTCTTTATCCACACCGCAGGACAGAGAACTAACTTAGAGAGCTTTTCCTTTTACCTATGCCCAGGGCAAGGGCGGATCCTTCCAACCGCTAGCAAACAAAACCCAGCAATCCTTCCCCGCCCTTCCCCCACCTCCACCGCGGGAATTCCGAGATCTGGGCGGGCCTTCTACTAGGCGCTCTGAGGAGCACAGATAGGATCTCGCGGCCGCCAATCAGACCTTCCGGATACCCGGATGTGAAGCGGTGCGCGGTACAAAGGCAAGTTTCCACCCAGCTCTCCGTCAGGTACAGTGGCCAATAAGCATTTCTCAGGCGATAAATGACAGGAAAAATGACCAGTTACAAACTAGTTTCTCTCACGCATGTGGAAATTCGCTAGGTTAGTCTAACCCACTACTAATTATGATTGGATAGAATTGTGAGGAGCTGTAAAACTGTCTAATTAGAAGCGGGAGCTAGAAAAGTCGCAGCCAATAGGAGGATTCCCAAGGGTGGGGCGGGGGTTAGGCCTTCGCCTCGGCGGCAGAGGAGACGCGGGGGCCATTTTGTGAAGAAGCGAAGGCTGAGCGGTTGCGGCCGCGTTGCGGACCTCGAGCAGCAGTCGGCTTCTCGGCGTAGAACTCGGGAGTAGGAGATTCAGAATCGAATCTCTTCTCCCTTCCCCCTCCTGGTAAGTGGAGGGGGCGGAAGCTGGGGAGGCGCTGGGTTTTTCGGGGAACGCGAGGGGGTGTGGGAGAGAAGACGAGGGAACTCTTCCCTCGGTAGAGTACGTAGGCCCCTATTTATTTTATTTGCTTTGGGGGATTAGGTCTTAACGCGCGCGAGAGTTTTATAGGCCTCAGCCCTTGCGTAGATTTTTAACCTAGTGTCCTCTAGGCCATAATCGGCAGGGAAAATGTCCCTTTTCTTTTTCGCTCTCCTGCGTTAACGGATGCTGTCCTTTCATTTTCTGAGAGAGGACGAAAGGGACGATCGAGATGCTCATTAATGTAGTTCAAGTTAATGTAGTGCCGATGCCTCCTGTTAAATTTAAATATTGAGCCGGGGGTGGGGAAGCGTTATCAAGCAGATATTTATTGTATCGCAAGCTTCTAAATTCTGGAGGGCACCTCACGGTTTAAGAATAGTAAATATTATAACAATAGATTTAATATTTTACTGATTTATTTTACTCCTTTCTGAAGAAATCATGGACCTCGAAATAGTTATTTTCAATTTTATTTTTTTAAATTGTAATCTCATTTACGTATTAACAGTAATAATTAAAGGTGGCTTTTTATCTGCAGGTTACAAATCACTTGAAATATATAAGTTAGTGGAACTTGCTTGAGGTGGGTATTACTATTTTTCTCAGACAGGAACCGAGGCGTGTTGATTGCCAGGGTCATATTAAATCAGTAGCAGAACTAGTAAGGAATTTGGCCACCAGCTTAAGTCAAGTGGCTTTACCTACTGGAATAGTAGATATTAAAATTACTATATTTGAATCTTTACAAGAACCTAATTACAACAACACTAGCGGTAACTGGAAATTCCTAAATTATCTTGGGAAAATGTTAAATTACGAGAATTGCGTTTATTATTAATGTAACGTCCTAAGATGATAAAGTTTGATTTTCAGGATATTTTGGCATTAATTTTCCAGACCATCCCAACTTAGGCAAAAATGCATAACTATATGCTTTTTTTAAGCAAGTATTGCAGTGCTTACTACTTACTAGGTCCTGAAACTTACTAATGTTTTTTGCTAAGTTGGTAGAAATTACATAGGTTTTTAAGTAGTATCATATTCACCTATCCAAGAAATCGCTTTTTTTAATCCTTGTCTAAGATTTAGTTGATTTTATTTTTCATAATGTGTTACTGGCACAAAAAGTAATATTATTAAGTACAGTTTAAACCAATACTGTGGGGTAAATTCACGCCGTAGGGAACGTTTTTGATAGAAACTAAAAGTACTCTTATTCTACGTAGCTATGCATTTGTTGACCCCTCACCATGTAGATATTGTAATAGGGATCAAAAGCATTGCCTTTAAAAAAAAAAAGCCTAAGTATATTATTACATGGACTTAAAACTAAAGTTAAGTGCAGAACTGTTAGAAGTGAGATAAGGGCAGTGACTGGTTAATTTAGGAAACCATACACCTAATAAATATATTGTTGGCAAATAACGAGAAATGTAAGAAATTAGTATTTAAGAACAACTATTGATGGGAATTGAAATTAACTGAAGGGCACTTCTCTTGCCTTGAGATGTTAGAAATATGGATTCCTTAGGATCAGCATGTACCAAGGTAACACTTCCTTTGATTTAATATTCATCTGGAATGATTTGGCCACAAAATTAATATCTGAAACAATTCTAGATTTGATTTCAAATAGATAGACATTAGTAACATTTACATGTTGGTTGGAGAGAGGAAGGATTTAAGAAGGATGTGTAAGTTACAGATCTTCTGACCTTTTTGTGTTTCCCATGCTCATGCCTCGGGAGTGCCTGGTGGTGTTTTGCTGTTCCTTTGTAAACACACCTTATTATTTGTGATCAGGTCTCTATAGAGTGTTTCACATAGCGTTGGACCTTGTTTTGTATGGAATTGCTTTTAGAAACAAGCAAGGAATAAACTCCAAAACAGCTAGTAATTCTAATCTTAAAGATTGATTATATTAACTGGTGGATGTGTGAGATTTAAGTGGTGAATGTGACGGTTGAAAGAACCTTGGCCTAGGAGTTAAGAGAACTGGATTTTTCCCACCGTGTTCATTATTACCTGACAGGCAAATCAGTTAAACTTTCTGGAATGCAGTTGTATACTTATAAGGGGGCTTATACATCTTACCCGTTTTAATTTCTACTTTCTGTAACTCAAGTCATTTGTTGCCAGAAGGCTAAAAAGTGTACAGAAACAGTTTTATTATTGACAGTAGTTTTTGTATATTAGTTATTACTGGTAACTGCCTTAACAGTATCTGTCTTCAAGTAATTTTAGTTATCTTTGAGGAGCATTATGTGGTCATACTTAATATGTACTGATTCGTTCTCATTGGGATTAGGGAAGTTTAAGGTTTTGTACATAATAGATTTACTAGAGAACTGACTTTGGTGTGACAACTGCATGTGTTCTCTTAGATATTGGAAATCTGGGGTTTATAAAGGGGAAAAGGATTACTATAGGGTTTTATAGTATAATATAGCATTTACTATGATATGTTATAATGTTCTCGTATTTATTTTATATCGATCTTAACTAGAGGATAGAGATTCCTTATTAAACTCTACACAGTAGTTCTTAAACATGAGCAGACATTAGAATCAGCCAGGGGGCTGGTTAAAACATTGCTGGGCTCTCCACCACCACTTTCTAATTAAGTCTGGGGTAGGCCCTGCTAATTTGCATTTCTAATAAGTGCCATGTGATGCTGGTTGGCAGCCCTTACTTCGAGAATACCCCTTTAGAAGAAGGATCCAAATCTCCCAGGGATTTGACAAAGTATAAACTAGGTATACTGCTAATTGCAAAGATTACAGTTAGGTGCTAAAGTTAGTTGGTCGTTTTTATGAGTGGTAGCTTAACATCTTGGGAGACAGCTTCTTGATTTTGAGAGATGTAAATGTTTTCACATTAGTTGCTGCTCTTTTTTTTTTTTTTTTTTTTTTTTTTGGCGATACGCGGGCCTCTCCCTGTTGTGGCCTGTCCCGTTGCGGAGCATAGGCTCCGGACGCGCAGGCCCAGCGGCCATGGCTCACGGGCCCAGCCGCTCCGCGGCATGTGGGATCTTCCCGGACGGGGGCACGAACCCGTGTCCCCTGCATCGGCAGGTGGACTCTAAACCACTGCGCCACCAGGGAAGCCCTGTTGCTGCTTTTTAAGCTTATGTTTTGTAACACTGGTGCAAAGGATTTGTTTGTAGATGAGCCACAGTTACATAACATATCCTGAAATTTTTGAGTACCAGGTTCAGGCTGTGACTCCCAAAGACGAAAATTGAATGTTTCACCATAACTGAACATCCCTAAGTTACTCAGAGGAGATAACATTCAAATAATGTATGTTTTCTATGTACATTTAGTTTAACATTTTGTACAATTTAACACATCAGTCTAAGCATAAAAGTAACTTACATGTCATGCCTAAACAGGTCTGCTACTACTTAAAAATTTACAGTTATAATTTTAGAGTTACAGTACCTGTCATCGTTCATATGTAATTGACTCAAGCAACACTTTTTAAAAGCACAGCTTAAAATTTTTTAGTTTACTGACATTTGAAAAGGAGAATGAAATCTCATGACTGGATATTGAAATGCAAGTATGATCATTCTTACTTGCTCAAAGACCTGCAATGTAATTGCAAATCTTGTTGTAGCTGATGAAACACCCAGTCTGTCATGGTTCGTAGAATTCCTATCTTGGAATTAGCTGTATGTTCTAGTTTATATAAACAGTGGGACCACAGAAGTAAATTCTTTAAGGACCATAATTTACTTTTCATCTGTTTTATGACATTAAATATTCAGTAGCCATAATAATCTTTTTTCCTTCATTTGATTTTTTTTCATTCTGTTATTGAGAGTGTTAATGTGCTCCTTATTTAAATCATCCTTCCCCTTGATAGGTTCTGTCAGGTCTTTTGGTTTGACCACTCACTGGTTTTGAAACTAGATGTCATTTCTAGTATGTATCTTCAGGGTAGACCATTCCCCTTCAGTTTGTATCATAGTAAAAGCTACATGGACTTAAAACCCACGAATCTGCTTCATAATCTTGATGTTTGACATTTGCTCACTTCTTCATCTCTGCTGACATGGTTTTTCTATATTTTCTTTCCCCAAACTCCTGATTATCAGATTGAATGTTCGAATGTGGACCTTTTTTTGAGACCCTTAAGGGAATACAGGTGCATATTTAGTCAATTTTAGGCACCTGCTGACATTGAAGAATTGTGAGGACAGTCACTGGTAGAGGCGATGATTCTATAGAAGCTGTCCCCATCCCAGTGGGATGTATGCTTTACCAAAATGTGTTAGATGCAATGGACAGATGTCTCTGTCTTGGGGGTTTAGGGCACAACATTTCTGAGGAACTCTGACTCAATCTGTCCCTTCTCCTTTCACAGGGCAGCAAGGCGAACCCCATCCCTACTCACTGGAGCTCAGCTTTGATTTTTAACCTCCCTTCCCCACCCTTCCAGAACACACACATTCCCATTCCAAAACTGATTTTATAAAGACATTTTAAACATAATGATGCAACTTGGTGTGCACTACGGCAGATTTACAGGTGTTTTTTTTTTAATTATTTCCAAAAACGGGACTTGGATTTAAGATGTAATTTTTAAATTTCTATTTCTATTTTTTCTGCAGCAGTTGGGTAGGAGGAGGAGGAGCCTTTTAGCCTCTCATAAACTGACCTCTCAACTTCCTCGTGTATTTTTAAGTTTGATTGATGATGTGGAAAGGGCTTTGCTTGTCTGCTACTGAGAACTTTACCCTTGCGGTTTTTGTGGAAACTGCTTTTGGAAAGAGAAAAGAAATGAACTTTATTGACTTGACATTTTTGCACCTCCCGTTTTTCTAATCTGGGCTATTTTTATTTTTGTTTTTTTACAGTGAGATTTTTTTGATCTTCAGCTACAGTAAGTTATTCCATTTTTGTTTTTACATTTTT